GGCAGAGCAGCATCTTCCCCTTAGTAATGGGCTGAGGGCCTCTCACATCCATCATTCGAGTTCTCAGAATGGACAGGAGAGCGTCCCCAGGTTCCTGCTCTGAGGACCTTGGCTTGTTGTTGTCGAATGAGAATGGACATTGACTCATGTGTGAGTCACTCTCCTCCCTCCCTCCCTAGGCCTCACAGCACTCAGTATTCCTCTTCTGCTCATACTGGGCATCAATGTGATTCTCATGTCTTTTCTTCCCCTGCTAGACTGTAAGCCCCAAGAAGGCAGGCACTGGCCTTATTTATCTCTATGGATTTTTTTTGGGGGGGGGCAGCAGGAGGGTGAAGGAACTCCCTTTATCAAGGCCAATCAGTGCTTCCTCTGCAGCTACTGGTCACAGAGAATTGCCTAGGGCACAAGAGATTAAGTGACTGTCCAGAGTAATACAGCCAGGATGATTCAGCAGTGAAAGGACCCCTGTCTATCCACCATGCTAGCCAGCTTCACCTCTTTGCTCACAAGAGATGCTGAATAAGAGATAGAGGTAGTTTATTAGGGGAAGGAAGGGATGATTTCACCACTGTGGGGAACTTGCAGCATGGAAATTCCCTCCATTGATGACATTCAGCAGCTCATCTTTCATTTCGTCTCAGAGGGTAGCTTGGCAAACCAAGAGGTTAAGTGAGAATCTGTCAGAGGCAGAACTGGAACCCGGGTCATCCTGACCCAGAGGCTAAGCAAAGTGCCTCTCCAAAAGATGGGGGCATAAGGGGAAATGTGGCAGAGTGGAGAGAAGGCTGAACTTGGGTTCAGCCCTCCTATGTCCCACTTATTATCTATATGTCCTGGGCAGTTGGCCTCACTTTTCCTCACCTCTAAAATGGGCCCAAGGCTATCTCTGTGGTGAAGATTATGCATGGAAAAATCAGAAAAAAAATCAGCTATTAGTATCATAACAAGAAAAAGCATTTAATTGGGAAACTGAGGCCCCAGTTTGACTCTCAGCCTTGCCACTCACTGTGTAACCATGTACTTAGTGACAGTGAGGCCTCTCTGGCCTCAGCTTATTTCTCTGCAAAATGAAGTCATTGGAGCAAATGATCTCTAAAGACCCGACCAGCTCCAAGCCTGTGCTTTCCTTATGGACCAGGATTCTACAGATGGGGAAACTGAGGCCCCAAGGTACCCCCGAGATTCCACAGCTAGAAAGCTGGAGAGCTGGCTCTAGAGCCAGCAATGGTCCCAGAGGTGACCTAGCGCAGCACTTTCATCTTACAGAGGAGGAAACTGAGACTCAGGACAGTCAAGTGACCTGCCCAAGGTCACTGATCTAGAACTGCCCCCAAATCCCCTATTCCTTCCCTGAGGCTTGGGTCAGGACTCTGAAGTACAATTTTCCATGGGATTTCCATTGTCTACCTACTCCCCTTTAGCTGGACCGAAAGGATCCTGTTTTTGCAGCTTTAAGTCCCAGCCAGTCCAGATGGGAGTCCCTGCTGGCCTGTCAAATCACCCTGGCTGGGCTGCTGTCTACAGATGGGAGGCGCTCCCTCAGCTTTCTGGACATGGCTGCTCAGCCTCGGCCTGGCGTCCGATCCCAGTGACCTTTTCCCTGCTTGACCAGTCACCGTCAGGCTCTTGATTTCTAAGGGTGGAATTTAATTTTTCAACATAATTGATATGAAAAAACATGTTTTTTCACATGGATTCCAAGAAAGGACCTGAATGATTTTCAGGGTGGAAATAAAAAATTTGGAAAGAGACAGAGATGACATAAAAATCACTGCCAGATAAAGAAAAAGCAGAGATCTGAGTTGAAAGGAGGGGACTTAAGATCCAAGGATTCACCTAGATTGCAATTAGTACTAATTATGTACATCAAGTTACTGACACTCCCCTGGGCCTCTTTTTGAGAAGAAGCAACCAGACACTCAAGGAATCCAATGATAGAGAGAAAGGCTGGGATGCATGCAAGCCTTCATGGCAGGGAACGAGCTGAGTGGATGGAAAGCCGACCTTGGAGTCTGGAAGACTTGGGTTCAGGTCATGCCTCTGACGTACTGACTGTGGCACCCTGGGCATGTCAGGGCCTCAGGGAACTCACTCAGGGGAACTCCATGATCTGATCACCCCAAAATTCATAGAAGCATGTTTGAGGCAGTAAAAAAACTAGAGAAAATTTGGATTCCCATCAACAGGGGAATGGTGGGACCACTTATGGTGTCTGCATGGAGTTGGGTATCACTATCCCCTGAGACCTGAGAATGATGAACAGTTAAGAGAAACATGGGGAGCTCTGAAAGAACCCATGCAGACTGAAGAAAGTAGAATGAGGAAGACATTCAACACAATGTCTGCAGTAAGGTAAACAGGAATGCCAAATGGCCTCTGCCCTCCGAGCTACGGAAACAGGCCTTCTCGGTCCAGGAGAAAAGGCGCAAAACACCCTTCCCTCTGCTCCGAGGAGAGGTGGGGGCTACGGGTGCCCAGTGGTGCACACACTGCCAAGGACAGCCTTTCTGGCGAGTGGTTTGGATCAGCCGCTTTTCTTTGTTCTAAGGGATGTTTCAATTGCTGCAATGGGGAGAGGGGGCATATTGGGAAGTCACTGGAATGAAAAAACAAACAGCACCAATCAAACTTGAAAGCTCGATTTAAAAGGATGCCCAGGGGGCAGCAAGGTGGTGCAGTGGATAGAGCACAGGCCCTGAAGCCAGGAGGACCTGAGTTCAAGTCCAGCCTCAGACACATAACACTTACTAGCTGTGTGACCCTGGACAAGTCACTTAACCCCAACTGCCTCATCAAATAAAAAAAAAAAAAGAAAAGGAAAAGGAAAAGGAAAACAAGAAAGAAAGGGGGGAAAAAAAGGATGTCCAGGAAACAGAAACAAGGATGAGCCTAACAAAGTGAGGGCTCCTTGAGGGCAGGGATTGGTTTCACTTCTGTCCTGTGTATCCTCAGCACCTAGAAGAGTGTCGGGCACCCAGTAAGAGCTTTACAGATGCTTGTTACATTCGATTGAATCAAATAATTTAAAATGTGGAGAGAATCATCTAGGGGGCTAGGGTGAAGGAGTTAGAGACAGGAAGATCTGAGTTCAGATCTTGCTTCAGACACACTGAGGTTTCTCATCTGTAAAATGGGGTTACTCACACCAGCCCCACAGGGTTATTCTGAGATTCATGGGAATGATGAGCATAAAATGCTTTACAAATGAGTTATCAGCATTACAATATTTTAAATCATGAAAATCCCTGAGAGTCTGTGTCCCCGTTTTAGGATTCCACACAAGCGTTCTTCCGTCCAAATTAATCTGAGCAGCTGCCCCGTGTCGTTCTGCCCGTGAGGCTTTGCGGAGGAACCCTTCCCTCTCTCTACCCTTCGAGGCTAGCTCCAGAGAGCAGCCTAAGCCCCTAGATTGTTAGAGCTGGGAGGGCCTTCAGAGACAGGTGAGGAAACTGAGGCCCAGGAGCAGAGATGGTTTGCTGGCTAATTAGTGACAGAGAAGGGACTGGCATCCCACCTCATGACCCTCCCCTTTCTGCTGGGGACGGGCACAGAGGGAAGCTTCATCTTGGCTATTTACCGAGTACATACCTACCCTTCTTTCATCTGCCTCCCTTCTGTGCAAAGGGGTTGGGTGGCACTAACAGCCATGGGTCTGAGCCAGCCCGCTATGCCCACAATCTTGGTTTCACACGCTGTTGTTCAGAGAGGCCCCCTCAGGGAGAAAGCCACAATCTAGGAGCACAAATGGAGGAACTCAGAGGGTTCTCATCATCCCACCTCTTGGCAGGGAGAGTCTTTTTATCCCCATTTCACAGATGAGGCAAACAAAGCCAGAGCAATGAAATGACATGCCCAAAGTCACACCATGAGAGAGTTAGGACCAACACCCAGGGTTCCTGGCTCCCAGATCCTTCCTCTGCTGCTTAGTACAAGTCCTGGTTAAAAACAGAAAACCAGCTTTGGAACCACACACTGCCTTTAAACAATAATCGCCAGGAGGGCAGGATCTAGGCCGTTGTCTTCAGCCAACAAGTCAGCCTTAAGCAGCTCCTTTGATTAGGCACCTGCTATTTGCCAAGCACGAGCTGGGCACTTTGGAAGTGAAGACAGCAGTGAAAACAGTCCCTGACTTCAAGATTTCATTCTAAGAGAGAAAACATTCCGAAATAAGCCCCCACAAGAGAGGCACCAAAAGAATTTAAGAGAGTAGAAGGGTAGGAAAGTCATTAGCAGAAGCAATGGAGCGGAGCCTTGAAGGACAAATCCACACCTGACTCCTTTTCCCTGTTGGCAGAACCATCCAGTGCTTCACACACACACACACACACACACACACACACACACACACACACACACACACACACACACAGATCAAGCCTCCAAGAACCAGAGATCTCCTTCAGTCCCTGAGGAAGATGGGTATTGTTGGAGGGGTTTGCACTTAGCAGAGAATGGCAAGTGTTTGTGGAATGAATGAATGAGTGAATGAATGAATGAATGTGATAGGAGGCACGTGTGATATCCGTTGATTTAACATCTTTCACAGGCACAAAATTTTAAGGGGATAAAAACTAAAGGCCTGGGAGATGATCAGATTGACCCCAAGGCTGGGCCATAGACGAAGACAAAGAGTGGGGCTTTTGAGCATGAAATCTGTCCCCACTCCACCCCCACAGCACTTATTAGGCAGTTGATAAAGGCTTGTTGATTGAGTGATTGATTCTCATGAGACAAAGGAGCGCCAGGTACAAAGGGTCATTTGGCCCCTGTCCTGCGCCCATCCCCCACACATCTCAAGAGCAGACATGACTTCGCATGGGCCTGCCGGGTCGTCAGGACAATTGGTGCAAGGCCATGCTTCATTTGTTTGCACTATCTCCAATGTCTACCCTCTGGCCAGATGGACTCCCGCTAAAGAGAGGCCCCAAAGTTGGCAGTTCTGCCGCTGCTGAGATCATGGGTTGTTCTCTTCCTTCCTCTGCCTATTTTTCTTCCAGGACAGTACATTCAACCAGCTCCCTGGGGAGCTGAAGCGAAACCTGGCCCCCGTGATCCCATCCCAGAAGGTGGCTCCTGTCCCATGAAGCTTGGTGTCACCAGGTTTAGAGAATCTTGGATTGGAAGGAAGCCTGGAAGCTTTGAGTCCAGCCCACGTGAGCATTCCCACTGCAAGTGGTCACCTAGCCATAGTTCAAAGGCCTCAGGTGAGAAGTGACCCACTCACTGCCTGCTGGGGCAGCCCATTCCCCTTGGGTGTCCCTGGTCATGGCCAAGCATTGCCTGGAACCAAGTGGAAATTTCCCTCTTGGTCACTTCTGTGCTGGGTCCTGCTCTCCAGGACCAAGAAGACAAGTATGCTCCCTCTTCTGGATGTCAATAGAGAGCCCTCATGACCTTCCAGATCCTTCTTCAGGCTGAATGTATTCAATGTCTCCAACTGATTTTTATGTGCTGTTTTCTAGACCCTCCACCATCAGGCAAAGAGCAGCCCAGACCATACAGGGTGTCAGGAAGAGCTGAGTGCAAATCCCTCCTCTGCCAGCTCTCCCTCCCAGGCATCTGCAATAGCCTGGATAAGATGGGGGGCTGAGCTGATCCTCTTTTCAAATCTCAATATTGAGTGGATATAATGAAGAGAGCTCTGGCTTTTGGAGACAGAAGCCACACAGGCAAATCTCCCTGTTACTTATCACTCCATCTCTCTGCGACTTAGTTTCCTCATCTGTAAAGTGAAGGAGTTGGGTTAGATTGGGGTTCTGAATCCTTTGGGTATCTGGAACCCCGTCCATCATCTAGCCTATAGACTGCTTCTCAGAACCACATTTTTAATTCATAAAATAAAATACATAGGATGACAATCGTATTGAAAATAACTGGGGAAACCAGTCTGAGGAAACCTGGGACTTGGGGACCTTAATCCTTCTTGTGGGACAAACTCTGTTCCAGCCCCACCACCTCCCCTTGCCTGGGACTGCCTCCTTCTCTGGACAACAATGCCCATCCAAAATCTTCTCCTCCTGGATGATTGGCATCCCCCTATCCACGAGTGCAGAGGTGTTGATTACAGAGCCTGAGGAGGGCCTGTCCCTTCTAACACCAGAGCACAGATTCAGGAGTCCTCCCCCTCTCTGCGCTGTGTGGTAAATAGAGCACTAAATATGACATCAGGAAGACCTGGGTTCACTCTTGCCTCAGATATTTAATTAGCTCTGTGACCCTGGGCAGGTCCCTTAACCTCTCTGAGACTCAATTTCCCCATCTGTAGAAGAGGAGGTGGGAGGGACAGATTTGGCGGCCTCTGAGGCTCCAGTTCTAAACCTGTGAAGCTGCTCCTGGGGGCCAGTAGCAATATCCTCTCCTCCGTTCTCGGTCTGACTCATTGTCCTTCTATTCATATAGATCACAGAGACATAAGAAAGGAATAGAAGAGTGAGGATTCCTGTTCCAGAGAAGCCCCTCCCCCCCTACAGACTGACCAATAGGATTCGGTTTCGTGGTCCTCAAAACTCGGGAGCCTGATTGAGACCAGAACCTTCTCAGCCTTTGCCACTTCCTGGGTCGTCTGCTCCTATTTCCAACCTATCACGTCCGGATGACTGATTCCCGGCGTTGGCCACCAGGCGAGTGGGCATTCTCATCTTATCTCAAATCAACCCATCAGCGAGCATTGATCTCAAAAATCCCAAGGCCAGGCTAAGGCTAGAAGACAACTCAGCCCCCGAGGGAGGCGTCAGATACAAATAAGACCTTTCCTGATTTTCTTCAGGGCTCCACATGCCTGGAAAGAAAGAGGCAGCTCCTAACTCAGATAGACTGGTGCTGGCAAAGACTGGATTCACAGAGAGGAGACCAGCTGCAAACCTCATCTTGCTTCTTCAGTAGTGTCGGAAAATCGCTGAGCCCCCAAATCTGAGCCTCAGTTTCCCCAGACATAGAAGGGTCCTTGGAGACCATCTAACACCTTTGGAGTCTATGAACTTATTATTTTTTAAATGCATATATTTTGATAACTGTCCTGTATTTCATTTTGTTCATTTAAAACTTGATTCCTAGGAGTCACAGGCTTTATTAGGCTGTCAAAGAGGCCATGACTCACAAAAAGGTAAAAGCAAGAGGTGGAGGAAGAGACTTCTCACCAGCCTCAGAAAGGACCTAGGAAGCTAAATGCAAGCCCATTGAACTATAGACAAGTGAGCAAAGAGGCCACAAAACATTTGGGTTAATACAAATACTCCTTTTCCTGGGGAGTCTAGGACCTAGGACCATAGATTTATAGCTGAAACAGATCTCAGAGGCCATCTAGTTCAGCCCCTTTATTTTACAGATGAGGAAACTGAGGACCAGAGAAGTAAAGCCACTTGCGAAGGTCACACAGCTAAAAAGCCTTGCCACCTAGGAGCCGTCTGAGATTCCTCACTCTCTCTCACTGCCCACATCCACTATGGTGCCAGGGCCTGTCGCTTTCACCCCTGCTGGCATCTCTGGTTGACCTCCCTGGCTTCCTTCAAGTCCCAATTAAAATCAGACCTCTTGCAGGAAGCCTCCTCCAGCCTCTCCCAATTCCTGGCCTTCCGTCTGGTCATTATTTCCTATTTATCCTGTATAAAGCCTGCTCATTGTCCCCCCATTGGATCGTGAGCTCCTTGAGGGCAGGGACTTTCTTCTGCCTCTTTTTGGATCTCCTACGCTTAGCATAGGGCCTGGCACTTGGCAGGCACTTAATAAATGCTTACTGATTTCAGGAAGATGAAATTTTATGGAAATGTTTTACGTGACTGCACATATATAACCTGTATCAAACTGCTTACCATCTTAGGGAGGGGGAAGGGGAGGGAGGGAGAGAGAAAATTTGTAGCTCAAAATTTTATAAAAAATGAATGTTAGAAAAAGATGAGATTTGAACAAGGTCCTCTGATTTCAGAGTCAATGTCCTTTCCACTGTACCATCCCCCTAATGGGGTTTGCCTTGGTGGTTACAGTGTCTGATAAGAAATAAAATGCCCCTTCCCCACTCGAGGCTTGGCTTGACCATCAGCCCTCCTTCTAAACACAGCAACCAGCCTCGCTGAAGAAGTAGATGGGCAAGGGCAGCCCCCCAAGGGCCAGATCCAACCATCACCCAGCCTCCCCCTTCTGGAATTCTCCAGTTCATCCACTCCTTCCTGGACTGTGGTGAAGAAGAGAATACAACGTGCAGAAGTGGCCTGACCAGGGCCAACAGCAGCGGGACCATTGCCTCTGTGGCCCTGGATGTTAAGATGCCAGGAGTTTGGGCTTTTTGTTTGTTTGGTTTTGGCTACCATGTCACACTGCTGGTTCATTTTGAGCCAAGACCCCATTCAGACCCCCAGATCTTTTTCAAAGGAATTGAAGACTTATCAAGCCACAACTCTGTTCTTGGGAAGTTGATTTTTGACTTCCACACCAGCCATCAGCAAAATGAGGATAAATACCACCCTATCCTCCCCATAGGGTTGTTGTGAGGGCCAAACAAAACAATGGGCACAAAAGTGCTTCATAAATTGTAAACAACTCCATTTCAAAAGCATTTATTAAGCACCTACTATGTGCTTACAGCTGCCATCAGACTTTGTAGATACCAAGGCAAAAAAACAACAAAACTGGTCCCCAGCCTCAAGGAGTGAGCATTCCATCCACCAGGCAGGTATTTCTTAAGTGCTTACTAGGTGGATGACTTTGAGTGGGGCTTACAAAGTAAAAAACAAACAAACAAAAAATAGCTCGGCCTTCTATTTCCTAAGCATTTCAATGCATTAATCGACAAGGATTTATTACTGTGTGCCAGATACAGTAGTTGAGGGCTAGGAATGTAGATGCAAAAAAGGGCAATGCTCCCTGCCTTCAATGAGCTATTCTTCTTCTTCTTATTATTATTATTATTAACCAATCAACAAGCATTGATTTAGCTCCTATCATGAGTCAGATATGAGTGGGCAGCTAGGTGGTGCAGTGGATAGAGTCAAGAAGACTCCTCTTGCTGAGTTCAAATCTGTCCTCAAACACCTACTCACTGTGTGACCCTGGGCAAGTCACTTAGCCCTTTACCTCAGTTTCCTCATCTGTAAAATGAGCTGGACAAGGGAATGGCAAACCACTCCAGGATCTCTGCCAAGAAAATCCCAAATGGGGTCATGGAGAGTCAGATTGAAAATGACTGATGAACAAAACAAGTCAGGCACTTTCCTAAGTGCTGGGGATGCGATGACAAAAATGCAACCGGGAGCTTGCTCTCAGGGAGCTTACGTCCTGCTAGATAACACTGGACAAAAAAACCATGATACACACAGAAGGTAGTAATATTAACATCACCCTTTTCCCTCCTCCAAAACCATCTTTAGCAAGAAAAAATGGGCTTCCAGTCTGGGGGCTTTGACCCGACTGACAAGAGAGTGAGCGAATAAATGTGTTGCTCTAGACGAGCTGGGTCGCCAGGCAAGGCTGCCTAGCATCCTCCTCTGGAGAGCTTTAAAAACAGGACAGATTCTCATCTGTCTGGAATGATCTAGGTGGGGTTCTGCCTGAAGGCGGGGCCAAGGACTGGACGAAAAGTCTGTAAGCCGCCTGTCCTTGGGATGTAAAATAAGAGACCACAGAGCAAGTCCTATGTCTCCAGTCCATAAAATGCTGCAGAAGCCTCTGCCCCTTCCATCGCTTGGGCGAGGGAGGCCATGCTGAAATGAGACCCAGGAAAAGATTACGGGAATTTAATCTCCAAAATCTAGTGGAGGAGGGGGGAGTTCTTGTTTATAGAGCGGGGAGAGAGTTAAAAGAAACAAACAAACAAAAACGAGATTTTGCAAAGGGCTCACGGCTGTAGCCACAACAGCATAATTAGAAGCTCTGAGGGCAGTTGGGCAAATGGATTATTTGCAGTTCTTCAGAGGAAAGTGATTATAATAATAACCTTTGTCTTTCCAAAATTAAGCTCATTATGCTCTTTCCTCCGCTGCAGAAATGCTGTGGGGCCTGTCATCAAGTGAAAAAGAAAGAAGTGAGCTGGGGGAGGAAGGGTGGAGAGCCCTCCCCCGCCAGGCAAGATGGGGGTAGGGAAGGAGAGGGAGGAGTCCAGGCCTTTCTTGGAGCTGTGAGCAGAGAGCCATCCATCTCTTCGGAGACGCAAGCCCCCAGGGCTTCAAAGGAAAAAATGAAAACCATTTCGATGGGGCTTTTCCATTGTCATTCCTTGCTGGCTGATTTAAAAGATGCTTCCTGCTCTAAGCGAGTGTCGGAGACGTTTTCAGAGCAATAAATAAGGTCTTGCAGTAGGCAGACCCTGAAATCACTGGCTGAGACATAAATTAAGGAAGATGACCCATCTTGACCCTGGAAGAGAGATGAGGAAATATGCTGCCCTCATTTGGTTGTCCAGGTGGGGGGTTGTGGGCGTCAAGTGGTGCACATCCCAGCAGATGAGGCTGGTGATTTTTGCTTAATTTTTTTTTTTGTTTTCTTTAGTTTAAGAGGAGGTTCACTAAGGGAGGGAGGGGAGGGCGACTTGGAAATGGATGGAATGTCTACACAAAAAGCAGCAATAGCATTTAAATTTTAAAAATTAATTAGATAAATATAAAGGGGAAAAAAAAAGGCTGACCCCAGAGTCCCAAGGAACGGACAAGGTCTATGCTCATGCCTCCTCGCAATGGTCTGCATGTATAAGCACAGCCCCACCTTGGCCCTGTCTTCACAGATGAGCAGCCTTCATCTCTGATGAGACTCTAGGAAGGACTAGGCTCAAGCAAAGATCCAAGCCACACCCCCTCCTGCACTGGGTCCTTTCTCTTCTTTTTTGTGGAGATCAGAAAAGCCCCTGGGGTCCTGGGGCCATCCAGCTGCAGTTTCTCTGGCTCAGGGCATGACCCACCCACCTTACTTTTCTGTTACCCCTGTCCTTGGTGAGGTCATGCACGCCACCTCCTTCCTCCAAGCCATCGTTGTCATACCAGGGTGTAGAGTGTGTTCAGGGAAGACTGGTGTGAGGGCTGCCCTATTCTGAGCTGCTTTCCGCCTTTGGTGCCTACCTGATTTGGCCAGCTCTTACCTGTGGCTCCAAGAAGCTGTAGCACACACAGCTGCCACACCTGGGCTGGAGGTAACCGAGGGACCTCAAAACCATCAAAGAGTTAAGGGGGTGTCCACCCAAGCATGTGAAGATTTCCCCAGTGGAATAAATGGATATGAACAATGTTTCAATGGGTGGCAGAAGCAGGTGCTTTGGAACATTCAGAACTTGGTCAGACATGGAAGATGTCAAGGTCATCCACTGCATCTCAGACCATTGCCTGTCATCTTGACTTTTGTCCTGAAACACTCTGGAAGAGAGAGTGAGGCCAACGACTTTGCCCAACTCAGCTTCCCTTAAATTCAGTTTACTCATGAGTCAACAGACACCACCCGTACCATTTTACCTCTCTCAAAGTCCTGTGGCAACAGTCAAGGGATGAAGCAGCAGGTGTGGATGCACTGGGAGCTGCACAGAGGTGGCCCAGGTCACAGGATCATCTTCTCACTGGAAGCAGCAGTGGGATTTGGCAGCCCCCTGGGTGTCCGAGCAGCCTTTGAAGGACCTCACTGCTCACCTCCTGGTATGAGGAGGGGCTAGAAAAGGTGCCCTAAAAATTGCTTACTCAACTCTGGCCTGTTTACTGCAGCAGATGGGGATCCCACCCTGAAGTCGAAATATTAAAAACTTCCACTCACCACCAGCACATAGAATGTGCACACACTTAGGGACAACACGAAATCCATAGACATGAAAGACAAATGGCTGTTGTTGCAGGAGAACTTGGCAGGTATTGCATCCAAATAGCAGCCCTGAGTGAAACAAGGCTGGCAAATGAAGGTCAGCTCACTGAAGCCTGAGCTGGATACACGTCTTTTCTGGAGTGGCTGCAGTGAAGGGGACTGCTGTGAAGCTGATGTAGGTTTTACAATCAAAATTAATCTAGTCCACAAGCTTTTATGCCTACCAAAAGGAGTGAATCACAGGCTCATGACAATGTGATTGCCACTTGCAGGGAAGCACCACGCCACCATCATCAGTGCTTATGCTCCCACCATGATGAACCCTGAGGAGATCAAAGAAAAATTTTATGAAGACCTAGAGACCCTTACCATCAATGTGCCAAAAGAGGACAAGCTTATAATTTTGGGTGACTTTAATGCAAGAGTAGGCACAGACTACCAGATGTGGCAGGGAGTCCTTGGGAGGAATGGAGTTGAGAACAGCAGCAGCAATGGTCACGTGTTACTGAAGACGTGTGAGTCTCGTGACCTTCTCATCACCAACACTGTCTCTCATTTACCTAAATGCAATAAAACTTCTTAGATGCACCCTCAAAACAAACACTGGCATTCAACAGACTATGCGGTTATAAGGAGAAGAGACAGACAGGATGTGAGAGTGATGAAAGTTGATGCGGGGTGCAGATTACTGGACTGATCACAGACTTATCCTCTCCAAGCTAAATATTTGCATTCAGTAAAAGCATTGTCCCCAAGGCAAGACAACTGCCAGAAGACTTACGGCAGCATATCAGAATACTTCCCTGAGTAGAAACAGTTTGCTGCTAATTTATAGAGAAAGTTGAGCCAACACACAGTTGGCAACAGTGGAACAGAAAAGGAGTGGGCAGCTTTCAGAGATCTGGTATACAGCACCAC